GAGAGTATAAAATGTTCGGTTACATCTGAACTTAGCGCTTCCTTACTTGTTGTATTTGAATTTTAGCAGTCCTATATTTCAATTTTTTGATCTACCACATTGATTATAAAATTCTTAATAACACGCTTACATTTATTCGAACGTTCCTACTTCTAATTACAATATTAAAATATATAAAGAAATCTCAAACGAGTATACCATTTAACTTTGCGAGAGTATAAAATGTTCGGTTACATCTGAACTTAGCGCTTCCTTACTTGTTGTATTTGAATTTTAGCAGTCCTATATTTCAATTTTTTGATCTACCACATTGATTATAAAATTCTTAATAACACGCTTACATTTATTCGAACGCTTATGGCTTTAGAATCATTTAACTATTTTTAAAGTTTTAAGCTTTCATGTTCATAGAAATTTCTGGCCTAAATTACTTCAGTATAAACCCTTGCTGTCATTTATAGAGTGAAAGCGTTTAACCTTTAAGTCAGTATATTTATTATAAAGCATTCATATAGACTTTAATTATTAAGAAATAAAGAAACATATTTAAAAATAAAAAAGGAGGAAAGAAACAGTTCAGAGAAAAAAATAAAAATAACTAATGAAGGACTAAGTTCAGGAATTTGGTAACTGGAAGTGCAGATATTCACAAATTCAGTATACGGGAATTAAAAAAGGCATGGAACGATTATCTATATTGATTCTTGAAGTGTCTACTGTAAATGCAAATAACATTCCAAATACCCTATTTCAACCATTTTCAAAATGTTGTATGTCTAATGTTAAGTGCTAAATTTTGTTCTACTCGATCAAGTATTTTGTGAGATAAGAGTTTTTTTTACTTAAAGTGGGTGGTGCCACAGCCATTTGTCTATCAAATAAGGCGCTGAATATACATATACCGTCATCAAATTTAATGTTATTATTAAAAAAATTAAATTACACATTCTTACCCACTTTAAATTTTGTATTTTTACCTGAATTATTGGCTAAGTTAATTATAGCATAATTTTTTTCATTTAAGGCTTTTGTGAGGGATCAATGACCTTTAGGTGAACTAGGTTCTATTAGAGCACCGTTAGTTCCAATGATGCAGTCATATTTTTCATAAAAGCACTGAAACTTGGTATCAGAAATTATACATTTTGTACATAATTTCACCTATTTAGTCTTAATTGAATAATAATGGGTGTTTTTTGTCGAATGTTGTCTTCCAAATGGTTAAGCGTTTGTGGCTTATGCGCATAGACCAACGACTTTACATAATTCCACAGAAAGTAGTCTAGCGGTGTTAAATCACAAGATCTTGGAGGCCAATTCACAGGTTCAAAACGTGAAATTAGTCGGTCACCAAACGTGTCTTTCAATAAATCGATTGTGGCTGTGTGACATGTTGCGCCGTCTTGTTGGAACCACAGCTCCTGGACATCATGGTTGTTCGATTCAGGAATGAAAAAGTTAGTAATGATGGCTCTATACCGATCACCATTGACTATAACGTTCTGATCATCATCGTTTTTGAAGAAGTACGGACCAATGATTCCACCAGCTCATAAAGCGCACCACCAGCCCCAAACAGTCAGTTTTTCTGGATGTAACAGTGTTTCGACATACACTTGAGGATTAGCTTCAGCAAATGCGGCAGTTTTGTTTGTTGACGTAGCCATTCAACCAGAAGTGCGCTTCATCGCATCTTACGATAAAATGAACGTAGTGCGCGATATGTATTCTGCACAGACTTAAAGTTCTATACCTCGAAAAAAAAACACCCATTAAAAGTATGGTACAATTCAATCTGTAAATCGATGGCATTTTGTAAGATGATGCAGCTGAAATGAAGTAACTACTGGAATAAGTGTACATATAAAACGGTTAAAACTTCACTCGCAAAATTTTTTAATTAAAGGAATAAATAAATTTTCAGTCACACCAAAGCGCCTACTGAACAATTATCGGTACCATTTCCTGCAAGCCACCTATCGGTTAAATCACTGGTTACCAGAGTTTTCTGTTAAGAGGTATAGCCACTGTAGGGGGTATACATTCAAGTGCAGATTCATTCATTTTTTTCGTGATATTATCATTTTTTCGCAGATCTAATGAAAAACTTGTCAAGTTTGAACCTCAAGCTCATGAAAAGTTATTTTTTTCGGTTATTTTTGTTGACTATAATAAACAAAGCGTGCGATGTGTCTTTGATCTTTTGTTTTTTGACATTTAGCATCTACAATCTACGTGAGAAATATTCTACATGAGAATACCCATATAAATACGTAGGGAAATTTGAAAATATCGATTCCTTCAAAAATTATAGTCATTTGAACAGAAAAATTATTTTGTAGTCTATAAAATCGTAATAAACTGAAAAAACAAAGTTTTGTATCAATCGAAATTTATCTACGTACTTCTATGTAAAACCTAATTCTAAAAAATAAAAATTTTCAAAGTTATTTCTCCCACCAATTGGAAAATTGTAGTTTTGAGAAAAACGCGTTTAAAGTTTCACATATATATACATTCACATTTGCACTCGAATATTGTATAGCTGAGCTGGAGGTGCGCTTACTCTATACGCCTAACCCTTATGTTAGTAACCGCGGTGTATTTGTGTGAATGGCTTAAAAAAAATTCAATATTTCATTTTAAGCTCTTAAATCGTCGTTTTTTAACTTAAAAGAAAGCTATTTGTGAGTTCATTTAATTGTTTTATTTTTTAATTTTTTTTTTAAATAAGCTTAAACTCTAGCCATCTCTATTAGCAATCGGGTACCCGGGTACCACAGTGGAAAGCATAGGAAAAAAATTGTATATAATTTCTATTAATGAATGCAACTAAATTTTATTAAAAAAATAAAGAAATATTACCCTTTTTTATAGATATTGACATTGAACACATTGTACACAATTAACTGAGTGCTCGTCACACACAGGTTGGTGACAATTGGCACATGCCTTACGTGTCTTTCGCCGTCTTCTTATTAGCAAAGCATTGCAGACATGACAAGATCTTGTTACTTTTTTATTTCTGGTGTTATCTTTTGGAGTCTCTGGACCAGGATTTATCACGACTGTTTCTGTCAGTATATGGCCTAATACATTTTCAATGGCAATATTTGTTGAGAAGTGGCGCATTACTTGTGGATTCACCGTGCGATGTTCAATCATCGGCAATGCTCGTTCTTCATTTAGTTTACGCATAAATTGACGACGTTCTGTCGTTTTTTTGACAATCATTTTATTATCTCATAATAAATTATATATTCTGCAAATGAAGAAATATCTAGCATGTTGAAGAACATTGCCATTGGCTATCTCGAAGATCGTCGTTGACTGGTGTATCTCCGCACCATTTGGTCCTTTGTGTCAACCCCAGCTTTATATTTATTATAGAAATTTATTATTTCTGGTTTTCGTTTAGCGTCATCACCAACGGATATATATGAATGCATTGTAGATATCAGAATGATAGCTTTATTATTTACATGGTAACCTTTTCGTGAAATCCAAAAACTGTCGAATACTGCTCGTGTTTTATTCGCTCGCATAACACTAGGGATGTAAGGTTTATTATTTTTTAGCTCTATTTGCTGGAATCCAGTCTTCGTCATCGCTATCAGAAACCCTACTCGAATCACTGTCTCCAAGTAGTTTCCTCAAGTACTCATTCCTTTCGGTTGCACTTAACCTAATAAAGTAAATATTATGTAATATACGTCGTAAATAATTATAATTATATTACACAAAATTGTAATTAAAATATTTACAAATGTTAAATATATGTAACGTTTACTTACCGAGCATAGTCAGCTCTCGATAATTGTTCCATAGCTTTATTCTTCACTCTCAAGAGAACACCAAATGTTACATATTAAAAAATGCTCGAATCTAGTGCGCGATAGAAAACAAAGAAATAACCTTGAGTTTTTCTTTCTCTTCGAACAAATAGGTCTCAGATGTCATTCACGATTCTAAGTTGTTATTTTTTTTCCTTTAAATTGTCACTGACTATTAATATTTAGAAAAAAAAAAAATTTTAGAAAATTTTTAGAATTTTTTTTTTTAATAATATAAACAAAATTTTTAATACTCAGTACCTCGATACCCGGTTGCTTAAGGACGTCGGTAAAGTTGGTTACTAACATAAGGATTAAAGTCATTTGCAAAAATTTTCTTCGCTACAAATTAACTTGAAACTTATTTTTATGACTATAAAGCATAGTTTAACGATTTTTTGAAAATTCTACAGTGCCCATACCCTTTAAAGTTTTTGTGAGTTTCTAAAGGGCTAATTGACAGTTCTAACCGAAACTCTTGATCTTACATATCTTTTTATCGGAAATGCCTTATAGTGGAGTGTATGCGTTAGTTACCTCGATTATTCTTCCAATGCATTGGAGTGTCGGTAGCCGTGACTTGCTGGGTTGTAATTGTCTATCACTCGACATTATCGACTGCGAATATTTTGCAATCGCTTTCACAGTTACTTTTTTGTCGTTAGAAATAAAAAAACAGTGATAATAATGGGTTTAAAGTAAGTTATTTGTATTTGAAGTTGTAAATAGTTTAAATATATGTGTATGTTTGCATTGATTATGCCCTGAACAGGTTATATTAAGTTTGTCATGACCGGAGACCCCATAAAGTACAATACCATATATAATATAATATATACTATATATATATACATATGGGTGGAGTTGAGCAACACTGAAACCCTTTTTCACAAGAAGTATTTTCGAGAAGTTTCGAAAGAGAGGCTTCCAACCAGAGACGACGAGTTTGCTTTAGATCGTGTAGCCAAACGCATGTGACGAACGAGACGACGAAAAGTGTTTTCTAAATAAACTAAATTTTAAAATATTAAACTCATTTACTTTTATTTTTAAATAAATTTAAATTTAATATTGTGAAAGATCTCTGTAAACCACAATATCCGTGTTATATATATTTTTTCAAAACTTAAGTCGATTACATTGCCAGATTTGTTATGTGTACTCGTACAGTTGCTAAAAAGATGCACTTGTGAAGGGGTTTCGTTATTTTAATAAATTTTTTCTTATTTGACTATCACAAAGCTGGCAACAAGAATCAAGCTAATTTTTATTTTAAACACGTACTATCATGGTATTGAAATTAAATATCATTTGAGGTTGTAGTACAAATATTGAAGCTTCATTTAATTTTAATATAATATGTGTCCCATCAATGCAACATACTAAGCCTGGTATTTTTGCCTTTAATTCTCAACTTCTGTATATTTATTTGATATCCAGTCTTTAAATAAGTTTTCTTCTAAGCTTCAGCTAGTACTAAGAGTTGGTAGATTGGCCAAGTTTCCTACGCTTAGTTGATATGATCCTTGAGCACAGAACCGTAGAGTTGCAATTGCAGTATCGTAAAAATCGATTTATTTCTTTAACCCGCTTGTAATTTACTTTCCAGCAGTGTAAGTAATACGTGAATGCAGCTTTGAACAATCGAAGATTTTTCAAAACCTTTAATATTTTAAAAATTGGTTTAGAGTTTCAACTCATTAGTACAATTAATTAAATTAATATATCGGTAAGGTATGTCATCTCAGGTCTAAAAATTGTACAAATCGGACCAGAGACCGGAAATGTGGACCCCAGAGCTTTTTGCCGAAAATATCGATCGATCTGTGAGATGAGGATGTTGGCATATCAATCGGCTCGTGCCATTCAATTTTCTCGAATGTTTTGGGCGTGAAGTTTGTTTCGAAATTGCTTAATTTTAAGCAAAAGCAATGTCGCATTGGTATCGCTTTTTTGGCCAAAAATAAAACCGTAATCATGCCTCAACCGCCATATTCACCAAAATTGGCTCTCAGCGACTTTTTCTTATTCCCAAAACTGTAGAAACCAATGGAGGGAAAGCGTTTTGCCACAATTGATGAGATCAAGTCAAAATCACAGTAAGAGCTGATAGCTATACCGAGATGCGCATTTCAGAAGTAGATATAGTACAATATTATATCCGATGGGGATTACTTTGAAGGGGACAAAATAGATATTTACGAATAACTTTACTACATTTGTACTTTTCAAAAAAAACCAACATTCAACATTTCCTTTGAACACACCTCGTATTATTGAAATTTGGAAAAAATGTTTTTTTTTTTGGTAATAATATACACTTGCTTCAAAAATACTTCTCTTAGCTCCCATACAGGTTGGCAAAAATCCCCCACTGAACCCTCCCCGAGGGTGCCGACTGGTAATAGATACCACAGATTCACGACACAAGTGGGGACGAGCTGGTAACAGTCCGCCCCTGCTGTAGACGTGAGGAATCTAGCTAAGGTCAGACTTCTTATCTGTGTGTTCGATGTTCCTCAATAGCACAGCATACAGATAAGGAGCCTTACCATGGTCGGGGGTAAAGGGCTGGATCAAGGTGTCATGTGACCCGTTCCGAGGATCAACGGAAGAAGACAAGGCAAGCACTAGTAAAGGGGCCGAAGCTAAAGCTGGCCCACAGAAAGTGGTAGCGCCGGAGGCAGCCAGACCCAAACCCTGCGGCGAAAACACGGCTGAGAAACAGTGGGAGGGAGGAGATGCCAAAGGGGCTGCTGCCGGAAGTGCATCTGCCAGGGAGTGGCCTGCATTTAGCATGCAGGACCCGTCAAAGGCAAAATATGCGGAGAGACGACGCGCCGCATACTTACTAAGGTTGGTAGAGCTAAAGCCGCCAACGAAAGAGGAGCTAACGAAGGAGCTCCAAGCATCGATTGACTGCGCGAGAGCAGTCATACTCAACTTCAAGTTGGAGCCGCCGGTAAAGGCAGCCAAGCGACAGAGGTCAGCTGAAGAGGCAAAGCCGTCAGCTAAGAGACCGAAGACAAAGGGTGTAACGCCCGCAAAATCATTTGCAGAAGTGGCCCGGAACCGAATTGTCATTGGCGTTCTGGATGAGGGGGATCCCGAAGGAAGAATCCCCAGAGCCCAATGGAAATAGGTGCAGGCTGCGCTGGCAAATGTGGCGCTGGAAGTGCTATTAAGCAATCCGGGTCCGCCATTGTCATGCGCAGATGCCGGCTGGTACCAGGGCCAGATCAAAATGATTGCTTGCGACGACGAGAGATCGGTCGCTCTATACAAAGCTGCTATAGCCAAGGTGGGAGAGGTATACCCCGGAGTAAAATTGGTAGCAGTGGACAAGAAGGACATACCATCCAGACCAAGGGCAAGGGTATGGATTCCGGGTACACCATCACAGCCGGACCAAATTATGCAGCTCATAAGAGCCTGCAACCCGAGCCTACCCACGGAAGGGTGGAAGTATGTCAAGACACTTGAGGACAGCGTAGCAGAATCTGGCGTGGAGACCAAAAGGGCCACGATGCAGATTCTGCTGTTATTAACGAAATAATCCATCGAACCGCTGGCGAAAAGTGGCGGGGAGATAAATTACGGGTTCACGAAAGTGAGGATAACGCCTTACAAGTCGGACGCCGATGCTGCAGACCATCTGGCATCGGGGAAAGAGATATGCGAAGTAGAGGAAGATCCGTGGCAATGGAACAGCCTGAATTTGTCCTCATTCAGGAGCCATGGGTTAATGGAGGGCGTATTTGCGGACTGAGGACGCCGAACTATAAGTTGCTGATGGCTAACTGTGAAGGTAAAATCAGAGCCTCCATAATGGCAAAAAAAAAACTTAATGTTTTTATATTACATAATTACAGCAACAACGACACAGCAGCAGTAAGCTGGGAAACGGGCTCAAGCAGTTACCGGCTAGTGTCGTGCTATATGCCGTAAGAGCAGGAGCTGGTGCAACCTCTGATGGTAAAAGAGGTGGTACGGGATAGCGATGCATCCAAGTGCATGACGATACTTGGATGCGACTCAAATGCGCATCACACAATCTGGGGCAGCACAGATGTAAACGACAGAGGTGAGTGTCTCTTTAATTACCTACTAGGTACTAAGTTACTGGTGTGTAATAAGGGAAGCACGCCAACATTTATTACAAGAAACCGTCAAGAAGTGCTGGATATCACACTTGTGTCGGAAGAACTAATTGACAGGGTAACCCAATGGAGGGTTCTCGAAGAACATTCCTTTTCGGATCACCGATATATCGAATGTACAATAGAGGAAAGGGCCGATAGAGGCATTAACTTTAGGAATCATAGGAGAACGAACTGGCAGGTGCACATGCAAGAGCTAGAGAAACGTATCCCTATGATTCTACCGTTTCAGCCCAATAGCAAGGAGGATCTAGATATCCTCGTTAATCGACTCACGGAATCGTGGCGGCAAGCACTAGAAGTGGCTTGTCCAATAACACGAAGCAGGGCTAGAATAAGGCCCCCCTGGTGGTCTCTAGAACTTAAAAAGCTACAGAAAGAATGCAGAAAGCAGTTCAATTTAGCTAAGCAATCCCAAGGCGAGTCAGACTGGATTATTATTACAACCTCCTTAGGTCATACAAAAAGGAAATTAGGAGAGCAAAAAGAAATTCATGGAAATCGTTTTGCAATGATATCGAGAACACGGCGGGAGCGTCTCGACTTAGGAAAATTATGGCACAATCGGTGCATAGTATCGGTTATCTTCAGAAGCCAGACCGAAGTTGAACGGTATCCAGTGAAGAGTCCTTGGGGCTACTAATGGATACCCACTTCCCAGGCAGCTCTGAAAGCCATACTGCAGAATATACTCAAGACAGTGGAGCAGAAATGAGCCCCACTCTTATAAACATAGTTTCAGAAAGAAACGTTCGCTGGGCAATAAACAGCATTAAGCCCTTTAAGTCGCAGGGATCAGACGGTATATTCCCGGCTCAATTGCAGCAGTCGCAGAATTACATAATGAATTGGCTAATTGCCATTCTTAAGGGGGCGCTGCAATTAAACTATATCCCTTCGCTTTGGAGGGAAGTCAAGGTAATATACATACCAAAGGCAGGCAAAAGCTCGCATACAAGTCCAAAGCTCGCATAAAAATCCTGGAAAAACTAATAGAATTACATATAAGAAACAAACTGAAACCAGAAAAGTTGGCTGGTTCGCAGCATGCGTATTCTAAAGGAAAATCCACAGAAACAGCACTAAGCTCTGTGGTGGCGGAGATTGAAAAATCTCTGGAAGTCAAAGAATACACTCTATTTGCCTTCTTAGACATAGAAGGGGCCTTCAATAATATCCAGCCTAGGGCCATACTGAGTGCGCTTAAGGATCTGGACATCTCTGAACCTCTCAGGAAATTAATTGAACAGATGCTCACGAGCAGGTCAATAATTTCAACGATGGGAGCGTCAACGATGTGCAGATCTGGCCAAAGAGGTACACCTCAAGGAGGCGTATTATCCCCACTTCTCTGGGTCCTGACAATGAATAAGTTGCTGATGGATCTAGAAAAGAAGGGGGTACATGTTGTGGCCTACGCTGATGATGTGGCAGTATCGGTCAGAGGCAAATTCCCGAATACTCTCGCAAACCTTATGCAAACGATATTGGACGATATAAATCGCTGGGCAGTATCGTGCGGATTAAATTTAAATGCTGGTAAGACAGAGCTCGTATTGTTCACCAGAAAACATAATGCTCCAGAAGTTACGGCGCCAATAATAAATGGTTACAGACTATCTTAGACAGG